GGAAATTGAGTTCCAACAACATATCTCACAAAATACTTTTCTTCTTCAACATACACTTGTTTTTTTCTTTTTTCTTTCTTGAGACAGGGTTCCACCATGAGCACTGGCTGGCTTGGAACATGAGAGCAGGCTGACTTCAAACTCAGATTTGCCTATTTCTACCTCCCAAATGCTGGGCTTAAAGGTATGTGACTACCATGCCTGCCGTCGGACACTTTTTTTTTAAATTCAAGAATTTGTGTCTGTGTGCAGACAGGTCAAAAGATCTGTAGTTATAGGCAGGTGTAAGATGCCTGACATGGGTGCGGAAAACTAATTCTCTCCCTCTTCAAGAGTGGCTGGTGTGGAGACTCTTAACCACTGAGCCATCTCTCCAGCCCTAAATAAGATACTTGCCTTCAATGTTTGAGGAAGAACTGTGGAGATGCAGCTCAGTGGTACAGTATCTGCCTAGCATTTATAAGTCCCTCCCTGAGTTTAAGGAAAGAAAAAAAAATGAGAAAATAAAGAAACTCAACAATGGAAAGCAATGGACAAGATATGATATGATAGATACTCTAGTGGGTTTGCTTAACTACCCACATTTCATCATCTGGGTAGAGCAGACACGGGGTTCATAGGACATGCTTGGGGAAGAAGAAAGGGCCGACACTGCACTGAGACTGATCTAATACGGAGGACATTACATAGGTAGAGCAGCAACAGTGGTGTGTGAGTGACCCAGCAGCCCCAGCACCTCTCATTCACGTCTTTTTCTTAATCTTTATTTTCATGTGTACGAGCATTTGCCTGTGTGCATATGAGCACCATGTGCATGCCTCGTGCCCACAGAGACCAAAAGACACCTGACCCCTGTGACTGGAGTTACAGATGATTGTGAACCATCATGCTGGGATTTGAGCATGGGTCCTTTGGAAAGCCAGTCAATGCTCCTAGCTACTGAGTCATCTCTCAAGAGCACAGTTTGTATCTTAAGAGTAACATGGCCATTATACTTGGGGGAGGGGCTTTTATGCACAAAGGAAATTTATCTGATTATATAGGAAAGAAAAATAACGGGCTGTTGGTGGTTTGAAGGAAAATGACCCCCACTGGAAGTGGCACTGTTAGGAGGTGTGTCTTTACTGGAATAGGTGTGGCCTTGTTGAAGGAAGCATGCTACTGTGGACTGGGCTTTGAGGTCTCCTATGCTCAAGCTAGGCCAAATATGGCACAGAGTTCACAACCTGCTGCCTCTGGATCAAGATGCAGACCTCAGCTCCAGCACCATGTCTGCCTCCATACTGTTTGTTATGTCCCACCATGATGATAATGGATTAAACCTCTGAAATGCTAAGCGAGCCTCAATTAAATGTTTTCCTTTGTAACAGCAGTTGTGGTCATGATGCCTCTTCACAGCAATAAAAGCCTAAGACACAAGCCAAGGCGGTAATCACTGGTAGATACTGGATACACATAAGGAAAAGGCCACACACTTCCCTTCTCTTAGGCTGAATGAAGTACTGGCACCGGTGACTCCAATACCTAACACTCACAGATTTCAAAATTGGTGGCATCTGGAAAACGTTAGGATTCCACTTGGCAAGACAGTCTACAGTCTCCCTCTTTTGCTCTTAAGTCCTATTGGCTGAACTCACTTGATACACAGCAGGCAGGCTTCTAGAGAAGGGCTTACTCTTTACACAACTACTATGAACACTTACTAAGCCAGATGGAAAGGTCTTCTAGAGTCACAAGCATAGTAGTTAGAGGCAAGGACTGTCCAACATCATGAATTTAATTAGTGCTGTTAAGTTATAAAGTTTAAAATTGTTGAGGTTAATTTTGTTAATGGAAATTTTATCACAATGGGAGTAAATTAGTGAGTTTTACATTATATACACTTTCCCACAAAAATCAAATCAGTCATCAAGTAACATACACCACAGGCTTGTGACAACACCATAGAACACATCCCAAAGGCACAGTGACTGAGAGAGGCAGACACAAACCCATAGGAGACTGAACCCAGCAGAGAGGCAGCCTGCACACTGTCTCATCAATGAGCCTCTCAAACCTCAGGCCTTCCAGGCCAGCTGCTGTGGAGTCAGCATGATCTCCAGAGGCCTTGGTAAGCACTCTAGAAATCAGAACAAGGCAGCGAGGAGAACCTGACTCATCAAGACCTTAAGAAAAATGGAAGAGGTCTGCTAAGCCTACTTAGTTCACCCCGTTAAACTAAACCCAAGTGGGTTAACTCCTATTTTACTCAAGCCACCAGCCTGGCAGAGCTACCCAGAGATGGGACTCATCTGGAAAAGTGCTTGTCAGGCACACGGAGCTCTAGGTTCCAGAACCAGCACAGCAAGAAAACTACAGTTCCAGGTCTATCACTGGAGGCTCAGGGTGCTGGCAGCTGAGCTCCAAAGGGCTTGGGCAGCCCTGAGCACCAGGCACAGGCAGCTGGTATTTAGGAGCTGGTATAAGGAGCACTGTGAGGCTGAGGCTGCTGGAGATGCACAGTGAGGTCTAGGTCAGCACGGGCTACAAACTAAGACTGGCTCAAACAAAATTCCATGCAGAGAAGACAGAAAAATCACCAGAGACCCCCCCCCCCCAACCACTGTAGGTTCAGGCTACAAAGTGTAAACTCATCCAAAGCATCCCTAAAAAAGAGCACCTCCAGAACCCCTGCCCATGAAGGGCCACTTAGGAAGTGCCTTCCCAGGAATCAGTCAGTGCTGAGCTACTCACAGGTCTCTGGAGCATAAGAAAAGCGAGCTACTGCCCAAGTTGGCAACGAACCTTGGTGTCACTGACATGATACTGGTTTTTGAGACATGCAGAATCCAAGTACAGGGTGGCCGAAGTATCCACCAGACTTCCAAAGGAAGTCTGGGGGAAGCTTGGCTATGTACGCTGGGGCTGGATTTCCTGTGAGTGGCCTGAGAGCATGACTCATTAAGCTGTGAGGGTGAAGCTGATGATGCAAGAGGTCCAGGAAAAACAAGTACCCAGAATGTGGACCGTGATAGCTACAGGCAGTGAGCCAAGAGAGAGGCCATATGGATACACCCAGCAAGGTCATAGGAGCTGGGCTGCTCAAGCCCTTTGGAACTCAGCTCACACCACCCTGGCTCTCTAATGACAGACCTGAACTATGGAATTTTAATGCTGTGTTTCATGTTGCTTTGGTCTGATCCTTCCTTACCTTTGGATGAGACTGTTTATGCCATTGAATACTGGAAGTATATAATCTGTTTGTAACAGGGGCTAACAGCTCAGAGTTTGCCTTGCACTTCTGAGACTCTTGGATGTGGTCTGAATGCATTTTGCTCTCTAAGACGAATATGGCCTTCAGCGGCTAGGGCTGGGATGTTAAGTGCCTCCTGCTGAAGGTCTGGTCCCTGGCTGGCGGTGCTATTTTGGTGGCGGAAACACTAGGAGGTGGGGCCTGGTGGGAGGAAGTAGGTCATTGGGAATCTGTCCTATTTTGTCCTTGGCTTCTTTCTTCTCCCACCTCCTCTCTGTTTCCTGGTTCTTGGCTACCATGAAGTGAGCAGACTCCTCTGCTTTGTGCTCCCACAACCACGATGCTCAGTCTCACCATGGACTGAGACTTCTGAGTCCATGAGCCAAAATAAATCTTCCTTTCTTTAAATCCTCTCTCAGGTATCTGTGGCCATGGCAAGTGGCTGACACGGCCATAATGAAGATGCTGCTAGCACTCCCTGGGGCTCACAATCACCTTCTGGACTTTACACTAATGTCATGTTATGGTTAAGGAAACTGAGAAACACCAAGCTTGGCAAACTTGCTCAAAGTCACATAATTTGAAGTAAAAAGGCTTAAATCTAAATTCCAGGGTCTGGGCCCCTAACCCATGAATACTTGGACTACAAAAGTGAGGAACTGAGAGGTCCCCTACAGATGTTGCTGTCTGTCTGCCTATGAAGGTATGTCTAGGACTAGCCAAAGCAGAGCTGGAGAGACACAGGAGGAAAGAGACCAGAGGTCAGCGTCAGGGCAGGCTCAGAGGACAGCAGAAGGGTCCTCTCTGTCTCGACCGTAACAGATGTAAACCAAAATCCGACGGGAAGGGAGATGTTCTAGGTGCTGACGTCCCGGAGAGTGACACGCGAGCTGAGCGACAGGGCAAGCTGAGCACGGGAGGCTGGACTCTGGTCCAGTAGCACCCAGAGGAGTAGAGGTTCCGCTTCACAAAGACATCGTCCAGAAGAAACAGCCAGGACAGTCACTGGAGAAGAGCAGCTCCAGCTGCGGGCACATGAGCTCACAGACTCAGGTGTGGCAGGTCAGCTAGCCTTGCAGCTAGATGAAGCCCGGGTTGCTGTGTCGTTTCTAAGAGCCCAACCAAAATCACTTCCAGGCTATGACAGGCTGTGCAGAAACGCTTCCTGAGGTCTGATTTTAAGCTTATGTTTTAACATTCTTATTTAAACATTCTCCCCAGGCAGAGTTGGAGAGAGGTCTCAAACCACATTTGGCGATATTATTACTAGGTCACGGAACACATGCCCAGCAGGTAGAAAGGGTGATTGGTGCCCAGAACCCAGATGGTGCAGAGTATGAGACTCAAGTGGGGCTGGCTCTAACCAGGGACAATGTTGTGTGGAAAACAAAATCACAACAGGGGACTCTCTCCTCTTGCTTCTACTGTTTGTTGTTCAGCAACAAAAAGGACAAGAGTCAGCATGCATGTCAGAACAGGGCCACAGCCTTTCTAGTGTAAGCAAATGTGAGAACATGAGCCCTCTGAGCTCTAGGTGCTGGGCACGCTTGCTAAGGGTTTGCAGAAGACTAAACTCATTCATAAGGACAGGCTGCAAAAAGACGACAGCTAAGTTTTAAGCTTGTTTGCTTGGCAAGGTGAGCTATTCATCAAGAGGACGAACCTCCAAAGCAACACCTGAGCCTTCCTCACAAACGAGTAAGGGAAACACACATCTCCAACAGCCGAACACAGATGAGAAGCAGGGCAAAAACGTGTTAAAGGATACGGTCTGTACCAGGAAACAGCGTTCTTCCGGTCAACAGCTCGGCCATGATGCAGCCCACGGACCAAATATCCACTGGAATAGTAATGGGAACACAAGCACAGACACGGTTTCTATTCATGTTCACGGTCACAGATTGGACTCAAACGGAGTGAAAGATTCAAATCAACACTCGAGACACCTGACGTTCAACAATCATTTTTCTTTTAGAAATAAATAAGCTTATTAAAACTGTCACCCAATAAAGGGCTCCACAGGTCATGTAAGTTAGCATACAATTAAGATAAACAAAATATATCACAAAAGGGCACTTTTCGTACTGGTGAATGGTGGACCTCCCGGGAATACTGAGTTGTCAACCCACTCTCCGCTGGTAAAGACCCAGCCCTGAGTCATCTGCAAACCATGTTAGCAGCACCCCTCCCCCATCTGGGTCAGGTCTGGGCAGGTGACTGGAGCAGCACCTGTCTGGTTGTAGTGCATCCAGTTCAGCATGATCTCAGGAGCCCTGTACCACCTGGTAGCCACGTAGCCTGTCATTTCATCATCAGTATGCCGAGCCAGTCCAAAATCCAGAATCTAAGGGCAAGAGCAGAGATCAGGCATGGGGGCAGGCAAGTTCTGCTACCTTATGACAAAGAAAATGGTATTTCCTCCCATTCCATGGGCTTTGCCAATCTGACTCAAGATACATGGCAAACATACTCCAAGAACTCTTTAAAAAGAAAGATGCCAGCAAAGCACACTATCCCCTGCTAGGAGTTTACTCAAGAACAACAAAGCCATATGCCCACACAGAGGTCTGCACAGGGATGTTCACAATATCTCTGTCTCAAACCAGAACAGAGGCAGGTGCCCAGTAACAGGAAGACAGGCTACACATTTTGGTATGCTTCTGAGATGGGCTGCTACTGAGCAACAGAATGAGAATACTGATGCACACAGTCCAGATGAAGAACCTATTACCCGTAACACAGTAATGTGCACGATTCTGTATGACTCCATTATAAAACAATAATTCAGAGTCAGAAATCGTATCAGTGGCTACCTGGAGCAGGGGGAAGGGGAAGGGGCGAGGGTCACTAGGAGGAGACACTCAGAACTTTTTGAAGTTATGGAGATTACTATGTTATAATGGTAGTAGCTTTATGGACATTAGAACCCTAAAAAAGGTAAATTTAAAATGGGTGTATTTTACTGTATTTTTTTAATTTTCCAATTTTATGTGTATGGGTATTTTGATTGCCATGTATGTTTGTGCCCCAAGAGCATGCAGTGCCCACAGAGACAAAAAGTGGGCATCAGATCCTCTAGATTCAGTGGGTGCTGGGAAATGAGCCATCTCTCTAGCTCCCTGTATGTTACCTTTTTCAAAAATTCATTAAAAAAAAATGTAGTACTACTTATTTTTTACAGATGGTTAATTCACTTCTATCTTATTTGAATCATTGAGTTTCTGCCATTTTTCTTTTCAGAAAACTATCTAATAGTGAATGTTCCAGGAATGCTTAACATTCCTTAACATAACAGACAGATTATAATACCCTTTATTACAATTAGCATGTTATATTTTTCTTTCTTTCTTTCTCCTTCCTTCCTTCCTTCCTTCCTTCCTTCCTTCCTTCCTTCCTTCCTTCCTTCCTTCCTTCCCTTTCTTGATTCATTTATTACATATATAGTGCTCTGCCTCCATGTATACCCGCAGGCCAGAAGAGAACACCAGATCTCATTACAGATGGTTGTGAGCCACCATGTGGTTTCTGGGAACTGAACTCAGGACCTCCTGGAAGAGCAGCCACTACTCTTAGTCTTGGAGCCATCTCTCTAGCCCAACATGCTATATTTCTAATTTTCTTTTCTTTTTTTTCTTTTCTTTTCTCCCTCACACCCTGAGACAGGGCTTCTTTATGTGGCCCTGGCTGTCCTGGATCTCGCTCTGTAGACCAGGCTGGCCTGAACTTAGAGGTCCGCCTACCTCTTCGTCCTGAGTGCTGGGATTAAAGGTTTGTTACTGAGATCTACTTCCGAGGTCATTTAAACAGCTTGCTTAGCCTACAGTTCGAAGTTCCATGCTTTCTTCCTTACCTTCAGCTCACAGTCCTCATTCACAGCTAGATTACTAGGTTTCAGGTCCTAAGAAGCAAGCGGAGAGAACAGTATCAACTTGATGCACAATGAGCCCCCCCACTTCCTGGTACAGAGGATGCAGACACACGGAAGACAAGCAGACTTCCAAGCTACAGTCAGTGTCCGAGCCAAATTAGCCTTCAGCAGGTACACAGGCAAGTGCTCCTCTACCAGCCTACACTAAGAGCAAGGGTGAAGTCAATCACTACTTTGACAGAGCCCTCAACTAGTGTCGCTCTTCCAGCCCCGCCCACATTGTCAAAGGCGCAATACATACCCTGTGAATTATGTCTGCCGAATGTATATACTGCAAAAGAGAAGAGTGTCAGTTTCCATGTCACAGCCTGTACATGTCTGCAGGGGTCTCCCTCAGCCGGTAAGCACTGTCCAGGTCCACAGTGGGTTGTCGCTATTCAGTTGGTGACACTAACTACGATTCCCACTCCACCTACTGGAGCTGTCACCCCTCTTCTCTTTCTTGATGACAGCCTCAGTAAGAGCTCTGATCCCTGAAAAGCACCCTCCCCTCCAAGACCAACCCTGGATAGTCTGGCACTCATCAATTGCCCACAGTGGTCCTCTTTCCTCTACCTCTCCAGTCCTGAGAGTGAACAGAGAGGCCAGTCAAGGCCTGAGCATGCTTTAAAGACACAATATCATACTGATCACACAAGAGACCAGCTTGTATCAAGACTTTTCAATATGGTCAACAGCACCCCTCTTGGATATTCAGACTGAAGGATCAAAGGAACGGATGACTTGTTTCACAGAAATCTGTGGCCTGGGAAATATATGACCAGCAGGGTTGGCTGATTCTGTAACTCTTCTAAGTCTCTCATAAGAAAACCCGACTGTTGTAGGTCCTCACTAGACAGGAAAGAGGGGAGAATTCATTTCCCCACACTACACCGTTACTGGCTGTACCTTCAACCCTCGGAGGATCTGGTAGATAAGGAACTGAACGTGGTCATCAGTAAGCTTCTGACACTTCACAATGTTGTTTAGGTCTGCCCCCATGAGATGCGTCACCAGGTACCTAGAAACAGAAAAGCAGTTACAGACAATCCAGGGAGGACCACCCAGGAAGCACCACAATGACAGTCAAAATCTCAACTTTGCCACCTGCAAGTTGGCAATCTAATCTCACCACATTTATACCCATTCCTGCTTGCTGAATCCTTTTCCACATTCTGTAAAGAAAAAAACTGAGGTGAAAAGAAAACATCGAAGATGGAGATGATTAAGTGGTTGTTGGGGGAGGGAGATAAGACCATCGTGGGTGGTTCTATAAGAAAGCAGGCTGAGCAAGCCATGAGGATCAAGCCAGTAAGCAGCCCACCATGGCTTCTGCATCAGCTCCTGCCTCCAGGCTCCTGTACGAGTTCCTGCCTTCACGACTTCTGATGGCATGGAACAGTGGGTGAATTAGCACCCCACCACCCCCAGTTGCTTTTGGACATGGTGCTTCATCACTGCAAAATTAACCCTAAGACAGGAGGTGTGTCCTTGTTGGAGGTTTCACTGGAGGTAAATTCTTGAGGTTTCAAAAGCCCACACCAGTGCCCCCCTCGCCATAATAACGTCCCTTCTAAAAACTCTCTAAAACTATAAGCCCCCAATTAAATGTTTGCCTCTGTAAACTGCCTTGTTTGTGGCGTCTGTTCACAGCAACAGAACAGTGCTGGAGATCACAACCAGGGCTTCAAGGATGCTAGGCAGTCCTCTAATTCACACCCCAGTCCCATCAGCTTTCTTATTTTTGCAGGAGAAATCTACAGTATAACTAATTGCGTGCCCATAAGGATCACATACTTGCAATCTCATCATTGTAGATTTACCTCATTGTAAATCTATGTTGTAGGTTGTTTTATTTTTATGTGCATTGGTGTTTGACCTGCATGTCTTTGTGAGGGAATAGGATCCACTGGAACTTGAGTTATAGACAGTTGTGAGCTGTCATATGGGTGCTGGGAATTGAACCTGGATCCTCTGGAAGACCCAACTTATCTGCTGAGCCATCCATCTTTCCAGCCCTATGTTGTAGGTTTTAAAACAGGTGTGCCCTTAGATTTTCAAAGTGTAATTTTCTTTTTTCCAGGAATGACTAGCAAAAGGCTGTTTACTGGCACTACCCTAAAGGAAGCAGGAACAGGACGGTCCAGAGCTTCCCATAGGTGTGGTGCTGAGTAGTAACCCTGCCTTTATATGGGAGTGACTGCATTCAAGCCCAGCAGGTTTGCCACAGAGACTCTAGACCCAAAGTCTTCACCCCACCAAAGAGCAGAGCAGAACCACAGGGCTGAGTTTGTAAGAGTAGGTGTGTCTCCTCCGTGACAGAAAGCTCAGCTGCCGCTCACAGTGCTCAGGTGGTCTACTGTCATAAGTAGAACAGAGGGATTTGGCCTACTTGTGACTTTAAAGTGAGATTTTAGCCAGTTTCCTAAAACTTGCATATTTATACAGCCTTAAGGAAAAAGATGAGCTCTACATGTAATTTAAAGAGTAAATTAGAAGGTTGGAGAGACAGCTGATCACTGAAAATGCTTCCTGCTCTCCAGGGTACCTGAGTTCAGTTCCCAGAATCCATGTTAGGTGGTTCACAACTGCCTGTAACTCCAGCTCGAGATACATACCCTCTAACATATACATACGGTAATTCTTAAAAATCCCTATCTTGAAAAACAAACAAAAAAAAAAAAACCAAAAAACAAAAGAGTAAATTAGACTCTCTGAAGTGTTTTCATCAAGGTAGATTTTATTTCAGTGATGTTCCCGGCCTCAAAGACTATAATCAAAGGCAGCTATCAAGGCTGACGACTTGAGGGCCATGTTCAGGACCCACGCCGTGGAGAGAACTGACTCCTACAAGTCGTCCTCTGGCCTCCACATGCAGGCTGTGAGGCATGAAAATTTACACAATATGCACACATGCACGCATAAATCAATAAAACTTTAATATTTTAAGACATCACAATGACCAAGGATACCTTATCTCTGGATGATCTATCTATCTATCTATCTATCTATCTATCTATCTATCTATCTATCATGTATACAATATTCTGTCTACATGTGTGCCTACAGGCCAGAAGGGGGCACCAGACCTCATTACAGATGGTTGTGAGCCACCATGTGGTTGCTGGGAATTGAACTCAGGACCTTTGGAAGAGCAGGCAATGCTCTTAACCTCTGAGCCATCTCTCCAGCCCTCTAGATGATTTAATAGCTTCTGAATATTTAGTGAAGACTGTCAAGAGCACAGCACTATCCCCTCTTAATTCCATCCATTCATTTTTTTTGGTAGTGCTGAGGACTGAACACAGTGTCTCGTGCATGCTGGCAGACACTCTTCTGAATTACACCCGCAGTCCTGGAGCTTTTGAGACAAGGTCTCACTATTCACCTGGGCCGGCCTTGGACTGGACGCTCTTCTGCCTCACCCTCCTGAGCACTGGGATGAGATGTGTACAGCTCAAACACCTGCTTCAGGAACCTATCTTATTTTTAGTCTCAAACTGGCAGACAATCTGGTAAATAGAAGAACACTGACTGGGGCACTGTGATGACTCAGTGCATAAAGCACTCACCACGAAATCCTAAATTCAACCCCTAGGACTCATGGTGGATGTGACTTCTGTACCTGCACCACAGCACACATGCTTCTGCACCACCACAAACACACAGGCACACATAAAAGACCACCGCCCCTGTGTAACTCTCAGTGCCTTTCTCTACTACACACAACTGTACGGGACGATCTGGAGACAATGAATGGGCTCAGTGCTTCTAATGCATTTTATCACAGACATGTCTAGGAGGCCGAGTCCGTCAAACCACTGCACAATCACACAATCGGTCATTTCCATAGGAAGAAATTGGACACTGCTCCTAGGATACAGCACTGCTTGTGGTGGGATTATTATTATTTCATTCCATGCTGTTCCCACAAGGTCCAAGGTCAATCTATGCCCACCAGCTATCAAATTTCAGCTCACATATAGAAGGAACTCCAAAGCAAATCACACAACAGAGGACAGGAGCAAGCACTACCCAGAGTTTCTGTTCATGGCAATCAGGCTTCTCAGACCAGTGAGCAGGACATGGGAGGACAAGTACAGATGAACCCACTCAAAAGTCAAGCCTGGCTCCACCTAGCACCATGGAAGCAAGATGGACACTGGGAAAGGGGCACCGCTGGAGAGCCACGTGTCTCTACATGATTTGATTCCAGCGAGCGTACTTTATGACATTTGAGAAGACACGCCTAACACCATCACTGGACTAGACAGTGAATTCCTAAAATAAGGAAGGCTGCAGTGCACTGTAGTTGGAAAGCTATCAAATACCAAATCTTTAAAAGATTAAGTGAGATTATATCAGAAGTTGAAGGCCAAAATGATGACTTCACAACCAGATTTGAATCTTGCTTCTCTCTTGAGAAGGTGGTGCCCTCTAAACTTAAGTCCCTCACATATCCCCCAGGGACATGAATCAGTGAGATGCACTGGACCAGCACCAGGTGGGACTCAGGACTGGCAACTTCCAGGACGCTAGGCTGTGCTCTGTCTCAGAGCCCCCTTTACTAAGTCCTGCTTGGGTGACACCCAGTTGTCAAGATTTTCCCTCCCATGCCTTTTGAAAGCATAATACAATGAAGGTTTAAAACAAAACAAAAGCCTCTTGCTCTAGCCTGCTATCTCCACCAATACTGGCTCCACTCAGAGCAGTTACAAAAAGGCAGAGCTAGCCTTCCATATTTAAACAGGTCTTAAACCTGCTCCAGGAGATGACACTAACCACCAGTCCTCACCAAAGGGCAGAGCACTTCTTTTCAAAAGCGAAAATCAGATCCCAAACGTTCCTCCCTCAGGATAAGAGAGAAAACCCCTCCAGATTGGAGCTGAGCTGCTACTACAACCAGCTAGCACCACAGATCGTCTGAATGTTTTAGTTTTAGCTCGTGGCTGCAGTGGGCCATGGTTCTGGTCTTTTTTGTTTTGGTTTTTCAAGACAGGGTTTTTCAAGACAGGGTTTTTCTACGTGGCCCTGGATGTCTGGAACTTGCTATGCAGACACACCAACTGGCCTTGAGATCTGCCTCTCGCTGCCTCCAGAGTGCTGGGCTTAAAGGTGTGCGTCATCATGTCTGGTGGACCATGTTTGTGAACTGAGGAAAAAAGCCTGTTTCAGCTGCTATACTCATCCAGTTCTGACCCTGTTAGTGTACACTCAGGAGAAAAACTACATCTGCTACAATGAAATCTTCTTGAATATTACGGAGTGTCTGTGGTGTGAGTAACTGGAGACGGAGCTGAATGGAAGTCACATCACATAAAAGCAAAGCCTTTATTCCCCTTCCCAGCCCCACGCCATGCCCCGGACCTTTTGATCTCTTTTCTGGGGCAATCTCCTTAGCTTATAAAGTCATGAATAACCTAACCCCCCCCCCCACTTCAGCTTCTCCCCAGTATACATCTGTTTTTTTTTTTTCTTCAAGATTTATTTATTTTGGGGGCTGAAGAGATGGCTCAGAGGTTAAGAGCATTGTCTGCTCTTCCAAAGGTCCTGAGTTCAATTCCCAGCAACCATATGGTGGCTCACAACCATCTGTAATGGGGTCTGGTGCCCTCTTCTGGCCTGCAGCCATACATGGAAGGAATGCTCTGTATACATAATAAATAAAATAAATATTTAAAAAAGATTTATTTTTATTTAATGTGTATGAGTGCTTTGCCTGTGTGTATGTATGTGCACCACGTGTGTGCCTGGTACCCTCAGAAGCCAGAAGAGGAATCTCTTGAAATTGGTGTTATAGAGAGTTGAGAGCTGCCATGTGGGACTGGAAAACAAGCCACCGCCCTCTGGAAGAGCAGCCAGGGCTCTTACTGCTGAGCCATCTCTCCAGCCCCATTGCCATGACATCCCTTGAGCTACTGCAGTACTTCACCCCCAGTTCTCTTTGGATATCTGGCTTGGCTCTCCTTTCTTAGTCTTTTCAACGCCAACTGAGCACCAGCTCAAGGACTACTTGTACAG